GCCTTCCCACGATAGTAAAAAAGTAAGAAAACAATTACATTCAGTTGTAACTAGCCAAAACAAACATTATTTACGTCTATTATGGCCCCTGTTAAAAATAGTTTGTAATGTTATCTACTGTAAGTTGGTCGAACGAATGCCTCCTCATCCGGAAGCTGACCGAGCAGACCCGAGCAGCCGAGTGCATCCGCGAAGCACACACAATGGCGACGTCAGAGTTCCCGTAGCAAGCAAATCTAAATCTCTTCGGTCAAAATGTCCGGTCAAAATAATTTCCCTTTAGCGCAATACCGCTTCAGTTGCGCCACTTATGTGACAGACAAGAAGAGTATGTGACAGACAAGAATAGTCAATTCTAATGTGTAACACTTAATGTGGAGAAAGAGATGTCCTATATGGGTTGATTGTGCGTTGATCTGTTGGTAATGCCTCGGGGTTCCGGTGGGCATGTAAACAAATGCATAATGCTGCGCTATACTTTGTGGCCTCACCCAGTTGCATAGCGGCGCTTATTGTTTAGGTGTCTTTTAATAAGCAGGTAGTCATATCATTAGCTAGAACTGATCAATATGGACATAAACGCGAGTGAAGTCTAAACTCTGGCGGGAGAGAGAGATCAGCTGCTGCTGACGAGTCGACACGCACCTCCGCATGATCACATGCAGCAGTGAGCGGACAAAACACACACTTCAGGTTAGAATATCACACGTAGCTATTTTAATTACCTCTCAAACTACCTAAACTAGTTATAGATATGTTTAGTTTTGCTGTCGGGTCACTCATTACTGGATCCGTGAGCTGCATGATACTAGCATAATAGATTGCCCGATCGGGCAACCAGCAGGTGAGGCTTCATTGCCCGAGCTAAATACTAGATGGCCCCGGGCCATCGGGCAGTCCTTAATGTCGAGCCCTGCCATAACATGTCTTATTCCAAACAAGTGAGAGACAATTGTTGATAGTATTTTCAAATGTATGAAGTGATAGAAAGAGATCCCTGAAATGTTCTCAGTAAAAACCTTATTTCTAGTATGTCAACAAAATCAAAATAAATATTTTGAACCCGGGTTTATTCATATCTCTGTACCAAACACGTGTGCAAATTCATATATTCAATAAACAATGCCTAATTCTCACATTTTAACAAGCAATCATAAATCCAGAAATTCAAAAAGTAATTGTCTAAATGTAAGTAATCAAGTTGTTGATATCCATTAGTCCCACCTGAAGTGTATCCCCTTCACAGCTTAGTTTTTGTCTCTGTGTTCCCTCAGTGCGCTCTCCAGTGCCAGCAGCCTCGCAGCAGCTCAGCCAATCAGAGCAGGAGCTTGCAGAGGTGATAGGTCTCCAGCGTACTGCAGAGGAAAGGACCAGAGAACTAACAGAGCAGCTGGAGAATGCAAATGCTAGGGTTGAGCAGTACAGGGCCGTGGTGCTGACTCTGGAGGACAGTCTGAAGAAAGAAAAGGAGGTACAGCTGATGTGTCATTTTCCTTCACACACTATTCTTATTCATTATATTTGTTGTCTATTCATACACTCCAATCCAATTGTTATCTGACTTCTCCATTCTGTAGTTTCGCTCCCCTCTGGAGCTCCGGCTGAAGGAGTCTGACGAGGTTCAGAAGCAGCTGGAGAAAACCATCTTAGAGGCTGAGAAGATGAAGCAGCAGGAGAGAGAAGAGAGGAGAAAGGCTGTAGATGCTGTGGAAAAACAAGTAAGCCCTCTGCACGCCGTAATACAGGATCTGCTCATTTGATATTGTTGGGTTTTGGATTGTTGGTTTGATGTTTAACAGTTTTGGTCAAATGCACAATAGTTACAGCGTAGTTGTTTGCAATGAACATCTTAAATCCTCCAACAGTGCAACATAAAACATTGTTGAGATCTATTAAAAAAACAGAAATAGAATATGGAACATATTGCAAGTGGAGTTTATCGATAGTGATAAAAACACTCCCGATGAGTCGATTGTGGTCCATCTCTGTTATCTTGATGAATGATGAATATCCTCTTATGAGTGATTTATTTTAATTTTTTTAAGTTAAGTTGGCTCAGCCCGCACAGTGTTGAGCTCCAGGTGATGATGCTTGTTTCCCTGCTGTGTTCCAGCTGCGTGAGGTGCAGCGCTGCCTGAAGTCCAGCCAGACGGAGCAGCAGGAGGCGCTGGAGAGAGCTGCTGCTGCTGTCACTCAGGAGCAGAGAGCCATACAGGAGAGCCTGCTGCAGGTACACACACACACACACACACACACACACACACACACACACACACACACACACACACACACTGCAGGGCTCGACATTATAATTGGCCCGCTGGCCCGGAAGCACTATTTAGACACCCCGGGCCAGCATAACGTACTTTCCACTTGCCCGCTCGGGCCACTAAAAATATTGTTTAAAAAAAAAATGTTTCCTGTGGTATTGGTATTTTGACTATCAATTTAGTTAAATTGTTTCGTTTATTAACGCTACAACATAGCGTTTCGTGAGTCGCTTGTCATTGTTGGGTGAAAAGCAAACAGCTGTTTGCTGCGGAGCGCAGCGCGAGCAGGCTCCCGTGAGCGGGAGCGCGCTCCTTCACTACAGACTATCGCGCCACCTAACCATTCGCCAAAATGTTTTTAATACCAGCGGTAACCGGCCAAGCGCCGGGCAAAAAACAATCTTCAAATAAAAGAAAGTCACCGGAGGAGTTAAAGGAGAGTGGACAGGGAGCATGAGAAGAAGAGGGAGAGAACGTTTCAGCCAGCTTGATCGATGGAGTTGGCCTCTAGTGGTGCAGTGACGCGTCCTAAAACCCTTTTATAATCTATCGATTAGATTTATGATTAGAAAATTATAAAAGTAGGGTAGACATGAGGAGATTATCCGGCTGAACAAAACGTGCATTTATCAAACAGGTTTGTTTTCCACAGACCTTATTTCCAGCTATTTTCCAAAACCCTGTGGAGAAGCTTTTTGTCGCGGGAACCGGCGGCTTACTTCCTGGTTTTATGACGCGTCACTGGCTGCACCTCTCAATATGATGCCAATATAAACAAGGTCTTCTGTCGGCTCTGTACATCAATGCCGACCTATGCTGACAAGTAAGTGAAGAGTAGACAATATAAAGGTATTGACTATAAGGAAATGTCCCAGCAGTTTAGGAGAATGAAGGTTATAATCTAATCTACTACATAGCCATTACATGTCTAACTCCTGGAAGGCAGAAAGCGCATTATATAAATAATAATACTCATAATGACAGCAGACATTTTTTAACAATGACCACAATATAATTATTTTAATAAACCAAATATGAACAATGGAGGAAAATGATGAAGAACTGATGATTCAAATGTTGTAGTACAAGTAGTAATGTAGTTTGTGCATACA